AGGAAGATCTTGAAGCAGCCTCCTCAGTTGTCTGTGGATGAACTGATGACTTCCCTATGTACTGGAAAACTGTCATCCTTGTATAGAGTGACTGCCAACAATGAAGAGATATTAATTATAGTTCTCAGAAGAACTGAAAATAAGTAATACATCAAGTGAGAAAAAACAACTTATAGAAAAAACCTCCTGGGCCATCTTGGAGCTGGAAATAAAGCAATAGCAAGCAATAAATAAACAGTGTAAATTCCACATTAAACTTCATGAGAAATTTCTTGGCTAAATCAAATATTAATCAGCTTCAGGTCTGTGAGATAAGGATGCAATTGGGTTTGGAAAATTAAATTAAATAGTGAAGACATTCTTAATCAGCCAAGTGCGGGTGGAGGCTTGGTCAGTGCTTCACTCACAGTCACAGGAGTTACAGACCTGCTAGATGACCCAGTCTATCTCCTGGCCAGTGTAGGGTTAGTTCCTTCAGTACTTTTTCATAAAGTTTTCATCAATCTAATCTGAAAAGTCCCATTGTTGCTTTCAGCACTCCCATTTGAGAGAATATGATGTGTGTTCAAAGGCATGACACCCTGCACTAGAAAATGGCACTTAAAGTCTAAATTTAAACTTACTGTGTAATATAACTGCAAACCTCTGTGTGTACATTTTTATTTCAGCTTATCTATCTTTTTGCACTACAATATTCATTAGATAAAAGTATCAACAGTATTGGAAACAAAACTTGAAGCTCTCTCCTGCCCAGGGGAAGTTTCCGCTGCATTAACCTGTGGAATCACACTCCTCTTTTTTGTTTTCTAGGTCTTTGGAATAAAACTCTTTCTGGCCAGTGGACCAGCTTCAGTAGGCAGGATGAAGAATACCATCAGCTCTGCATAGTTCATAGACCGATGAGGAGTCTTTCCTTCCAGGATGAGTAGAGCCTACAACCAGGTGGATGAGTCTTTCTCCCCCTCATTAGTGACATGGGCAATTAAAGCTAAATGGAAGGTGTGTTACAAAAGTAGGTTTTCAGACTCTCAAGCCCAGTGGGGTAGACTTGTACTCATGTATTACTTAGGCACCTTGTTGGTGAAATAGGATTTGTACCTGGCTGTGTTTCTGAATGGCAAGTTCTAGTTCAACTGGAGGTTATATATTATGCAGGAGGTCAAAATATATAATCATAATGGCCCCTTTGAGTATATACTCCATGAATGCATGGATTAGTCCCATAAAATCAGGTAAAGAACGGTAGAAATGTAGTGCTGGAAGAGACCTCTGGAAACCCTTTAGTCCAACCCCTGCAGGACCTCCCTAATCTGTGATGTCTTCACACTGGCTTTTTCTGCACTGTAAACTAAAATCCCTGTTCCCTTTCAGCTTGACTGAATGCCTGGTGTATATGAGTTTGGGATATATTTCTTCTCATGCATTATCTTGAACTTTTCCAAGTTTCTTCTCTGCCCATATTTCTGATCTCTCTAGGATTCTTTGTATTATTTGTCTGTCCTTGAAGGTGGTTGCAGCTCATCTTAATTCAGAACGGTTCTTAAACACATGTTGTTCTAAACATGAGTTATTAAATTGATTTCCTTAAAGTTAGTCATAAGCTTAACCTAAGATATGTGCTTAAATACCTTGATGAATTGGGGCCCATGTGTTACTGTTTTTCCCCCCAGTCGCTAACAAAGATATTAAAATAAAACAAAACTTAACACCTGCAACATCCAATGTAAATACTGAGTTCATGCCAGGAAACATTTCATTAGGATTCTAGCTGCTAAACAAAAAGCACTACTGTCTTCAGGATGTCGTTTGGAAATGTATCCCACTTTATGCCAGAGCCAGAGTTTGTACTGTGGAATTTTATGGCAGGAGAAGTACTCTGAGTGGAAAGATGAGGGGAGTGAAAAAAAAAGAATACAGAAATTGCTACTGCATGGTTTTATTAATAATAACTCAGGAGTAATAGCTTTCTAAAGAGTGAGTCTAGGCAACACCATTTACTTCTCAGTGAGCCAGCACTGTAGGAGCGTAAATGACTGATTTGACATAGCTGAGACGTCAGGCATCTGCAGAGTGGTTAGTGATCATCCTGCCTCTGCATATGCATTATCAAGTGACCACTTGCAGAAACAGAATTGAAAAGGAAAATGTGTTTATTTTGGGGATGGCCCTGTAAAATTTTTCCTACAGTTTTCCCTACTGTTTGTTAACTTTATTTCAGCTGGTGCCAAACATACAACTATGAATTGTGTCTTGGAAAGCAAACAATGGAAGAAATTAATTTGGTAATGTTTTTTATTTTAAAAGCTAATATCAAGAAACGGTCATGGTCAGCAACTGCAGGCTTTCAATTGAAACTGACATGGTAAAAAAGTGAAAAATACACCGGATTCCCTTCCAAGAAAAGAAGGTCAAGGCATTTTGAAGGTTTTACTAAAGCTCATGTAATTTTCCAAGATTTCTCTCATCAGTTGAGCTGTTACAAGCATATGAACAACAGGAGAAAAGCCGGTTTGAGACAGGAAGGAAGGATACTTACAAGAATGGTACTCCAGTGGAAATCAGAAGACCTTTCTAAATGTATTTGTCTTTGAGCTTGCTAGCTGTAGGGTCAGAAATGGTGTCAGGTTCAAATGAGCATAGGAAAGGCTGACCCAGAATCAAAATGTTTTGTTTTTTGCCTCAGTCGGAAAATCTGAAAAAAATGAGTCCCTTCAGGTCAACCTGAAATATTTCCTTTAATTCTGCTTAGTTGTCCTACTGTTGTTTTTTTTAGTTAAATGTGCCCGAATTTAGTCTCCAGGTATGCCAAACTGAAAAAAATCAAAACATTTTATTGAAAAAAATGTCAAAATAAAACCTCTCAGCTTGTATTTATTTACTGGGGGGGGG